CAGAGGTAGGACTGCTCAGTAATTTACAGATGGAAGCACTGAAACCCCAAGACCTAAATTCTACAGTGGGCCTAGAACTCAAAACATGGAGATTTACCTTAAGTGTCTCAAATTAGCGGTACAACTACCATCAATATCAGTTGCGCCGACACGTTACTCTCTTTGGTGTCAGAAGTCACACTTCAAAGATCTATAACTCTCATCTCTTCAAGAGCTGCCGATTCAGATGCGAGATCAATCAGAATAAGAAGTAATTGAAAGGAGAGAACTCATTGAGCAGACTGCATAGATGAGGGGTGCAAGTTTAGAGCTAAAGCTTTTACTACTAAAATATGGTTGTACAACGATGATGCACAAAAGCAACCAAGCCATGCAGGAGAGAAAAGACAGACATACGAATGGAACGAAAATGTTATATTTCAATTCCATTACTATACTTATAAACCAGTCTGACTCCTGTAACCCCACGTGCACTGGTTCTGGTTGGCATGGAGGTCATTTTCTTCACAGCAGCCCGTATGGTGCTGAGTTTTAGATGTGTGACTAAAACAGTGCTGGTGACACAGCAATGTTATATCAGTTGCTGAGCAGTGCCTGGGACAGCTGACCCCAACTGACCAAAGCGATGCTCCATATCGTAAAGCATCATCTTCAGCAATAAAACAGGGAGTAGTATGTCCTTGGTAGTTGTTTGAGATTGGCTGGACATTGGTCTGCTGCTGGGAGGTGGTGAGTGATTGCTTTTTTGCATCACTTGGTGGTAGGGTTTGTGTTTTTTTTCCTTTTTCTTCATTTTTTCCCTCCACTTTTTAAACTGTCTTTAACTTGGTCTATGAGCTTTTAATCACTATTGTTCTTCCAATTCTGTCTCCCATTCAACTGGGAAGTGCGGAGTGAGCGAGCAGCTGATGAACACTTAATTCCTGGCTTGGGTCAACCCACCACACCAGGTTATCAAGAATTAACTGCCCAATGCAGATCTGAATGGTCTTCCATCAAGCAAACAGAAGTTCCTTTAGCTATTACTTATATATGTTATATATGCTAAGTCCCATCTGGCTTCCAATGTGCATAGAATTCAAAGGAGGAAGACAGAGTCTACAAAGACTAAGACCATCTCCCATCCCTTATAGGCTTTAATGACAGCCTAAAAAATACATGCTGTCCTTTGATTGTCTAATATATGTGAGTCCATAATATGCTCCATAAAGAAGGTTGGGAATACACTAAAGAAAATAGCGACAGATTTCATTTTCAGCCTGCAACCTACACTCAAAGAAAATTAGGACAGGCTAACAGTTGTGTTTTCTTAAGGGAGATGGCCATTTCTTAGTTTTTCTAAGACATTATGTGTTTACTAAGACTTTATGTACTAGTCATACTTAGCACTGTGGTAAGGTTTATATAGTTACTTGTGATGGCTGACAGTCTTCTTTATTTCTATCCTCTGAAAACTAGCATGGACACATTTTAACCCCTATCAGCTGTTTAACTGATAGAGGAGTTAGACCTAGCTAGAAACCTAACTGTTCAGAATGTATGCTACATTTTCAATTATGTAGAGTGACAGAACCATACGCAGTATACTACACTAACATATCAAATACAGTAGGGCAGATAAAGTTTTATCTATTCTTTTTAATATACTTCAGTTGATAGACAGAAGGTATCATATGGCATATTTCTGCTATCCACAGGATGTGAATCTAACAATGGACAAAATGTGACTTTAAAACAAATCCAACCTGCACTGGGATCAACAACGGACCAATCCTGAGAAAATCAGTGAGAGCTACAAAAGCTGTACTAACAGTAGTGACCAAAAAGAAAATGAAGTAATTTAAGGTTTTTAAGTCCCTTATTTGAGGTTTGCAAGGGGGACTAAACTATATATTATTTGGAAAACTTCTTAGATGGCATGGTGCTATAAACACTTGTCTATTAAGCTGAGAGCATAATGTACGAAACATATGTGGGCTTATTTGAATAAGGATT